TCTTCTTCTTCTCCTCCTCCTCCTCCTCCTCCTCCTCCTCCTCCTCCTCCTCCTCCTTCTCTTAGTTCCTGCAGCCAGAATCTTGTGGGATATAAAGCATTCTTGAAAAGAAAATTAAGGTCCTGAGAATGCAAGTTCACATTATGGGACATGCCCAAGAAAATAAAGTATTGTGTAATATCTGATCTCAGAATGCTGCTGCTTGATACTGTTTTTGTCTGGAAATTAGATGTTTCAGCTACTGCATCATCATTTGATGTAATTAAATGTAAGCCACAATGGAACTTTGCAATCAACTGATTTGGTTTTTCAAACAAACAAAAACCCTAATTTGCAATACAAAATTGACATGGAAAAAAAAAATCCACAAATGGATGGTAATACAACTATAAGATTGAAGCCTTCTCCATCATAAGCACTATGGGAACATAATTCACAAACCAGAACAGACTAACCTATATTTCACAAGTATTAAGAATACCACCAGGACTGTAGTGGGGTGTTTACAAACCAGTACCGGTGCTGATGAACTACACTGTAGGGACTGGTTTCTGCAGTTGGCTTTCCCCACTGTGCTCATGAGCTTTGGGATGCTAATGGCGATCTTGGTGTCTCTGTGTCTAGCAAGTGAGGGGAGCGTTATATTCCCAACTACCACTTCAATACTATGAGAATAAGATATTGAGGGCAAGATTTGTTTGATTTCCATAGTTGCCTGGAAATAGCTAATTTAAGACAAGTCTTGGGAATTATTATTTGGGAGCGACATTTCTAATTTTAAACATACTAAGCCATGCATTGTTTTATTTAAATTCAGATGTGAATTTACTGACTGTAGTAAGAAGTCTTTGATTTCCCTTCAGTCTTCCTTCAGGCAGTGCCTGCCATATTTCTTGGACTACAATCCTCATTATCCACAGCCTGCAGGTCAAGTAAAAGCACTAGGTAGGGATAATGGGATTCAAAGTCTCAATAGTTGGTGGTGGTAGTGTTGTTTTTGCTACAGTTATTTAAATCCCATTTTTCACAACAATCCAGTATGATTTAAAAACAAAAACTCTTTCAGGATTCTTCCCAAAATGTCATAGGTAGTAATAGTCTGGGAAAGGAAGGGACAAAGATGAACAAGTTTATATAATGGTTGTCACTTGCACTCCTCTCTCTCTCTTCTGCTTTCTCTCTCTTTCTCATGGACAGCTTTAGTCCCATAGGCACTTGAAGGAATAAGATTTCCTTCCAAAGTCTGTTGAAGGACTCCTATACATAACGCACTCTAGCACATGTCCTTTAAAAAATGATGTGTAGTTCTCACCTCCTTTTGCCCCATTCTGAGAGCACTGTTCAGTAAAAAAGGTTAAATTTAGAGTAGCATTGTCTTTCTGCTGCTAAGCTTTATGATGGTATTGTGTACACGGCCACACTTGTTCATCTCCACCATTCTTCTATTGCCATGCGATGCCAACTCCTGTATAATATACATATTTATGTTGTATGAGGCCAGAAATGCTCAGACCTATCTGGATGTCTTTAAATAATACTTGTGCCAATCAAGTTTTTCATGTGGTGCACTGATGCACCACTTAAGACCATGTTGTTGATGCTCCTGAATTACACAACCAAGTAAACACCATAAACAAACACATCAGAATTCCAATTGCCACATCAACATTATTTTAAATGTCTCATTCAGGTTCAGAAACAGGTCTTTAACTGGGCTTGTAGTTCAACTTACATCAGAAATCTGTGTGTACAGGTGTGTACCATATACATCCACATCCACAGACATGTAGACAAATGTGTGTATATTTATAACTAAAAATATCCAGGAAGAAGCTGTACACACTTCACAAATAATACAGAATAAATAGATCTTGAATGAAAACTGTACCCCTCTGTTATTCATTAAAACTGAGTTTTCTGTTCAAGCTTGAAATAAGATGTGCCTGCTTTGATGAATCAGATTTTTTTGCAGATTGCTATTAGTAATAAATCATGCCTGCAGAGATCAGTAACTGTTCACTGATATGCATGTGCTAAGCTACAGTTTTTTAAATAAGGGTTTGCTGAGAAGACCATAGCTGGCTGGGTTTGCCCAATTAGCTGAGTTTATGAACCACAGTGGTTAGGTTCACACAATATTCTGAATGAAAATTAAACAAGAAATGTAATGTAGTTTAGTACAATGAGTGAAGCCAGCCACTTGTGGTTGATTTGATTAGCAAGCACTTTAATCTGTAAGTAGATGTGATTAGCAGGTGCTTTGTCTGTAAGTAGATGTGATTTTTAGAGTGGAATATAGTACTCTCAAGTGGAAACCAATTATTCTGATCCATTTTATTCTAGCATCAGGTTCCAATATGATATTGAACCTGTGTTGCCTTTCTTGATGGATATTTGCTGTAAGAGAGACCAGAAGATGCTGTCCTGCATATTCTTTTGGACCTCTTACCAACTTTTGATATCAATGAATATGGTATCTTGTTGAATTGACCTTCCTGGCCAATACATGAGCATACTGAGAGCCACCCAGAGTTGTGTTTCTTAAGATTAAAATCTTAATCTAAATAGGATTCAGTAAATTGGGGCTTGTCTGCCAGCCATCATTTGTGCCTCATCCAGCAATGCAATTATGTGATTCGCATCACTCATGTTATGACATTGGAGGCAAGTACCTAGGTTTATTTGTTTATTACATTTATATGCATCACTTGCATGATAATGTCCCAACAAACATGTCATTGTTTGCTCCAATATGGTCTCATCCTTCCCACTAGTTTTGTGTTCAAAATAAAACCTTTTCTCCACTTTAAGATAACTTTTTAAAAGTGCTGGTGTTTTTCAGAACGGTAACTTGCCAAGCCACCTATCCTTAACTGCATGCTGATGCCCAGATGGAATGCTGGGAGGTGCACTGAACCAGTTGTCCCCCCCAGTGAACACCTAAGACCTCCCAGTGCAAATAGGAATTCTGTACGCCCAACAAACTACAGTATGCAACTCCATAGAACAATGGAAATAGCCCTCAATGGGGTTTGATCACAGTGGTTGCAGGAGGGGTCAGTTTAATTAATAATTGGATCTGGACCCCTGTCTGGGAGTCTCCTCAGCATTACAACTACTTCTACATACCTGTGTGCAAACCTATTTTTTTTAAAGAGATTGAATGAAAGACACTGAGCAGGTGCAATTTCACATTTTATACCCATTTAAGCATGGCCCCACCATGACTTAGGAATATAAAGGAGTTTACTTTGCAGCTGCCTTGATACCTAAAACATTTGCTTGGGTATAATAAATTTAATTTTTTTTAATAAAAAGTAATAATATAAAGGGTGTATCAAACATCAGGCCCCATGGGCCAATCACAATATGTTTATTATTCTTTTTTTTCAGAGAAAATGTTACTGTACTTAAGTTAGTGTTCAAAGGTCCTGCATCAAATGAGTAAGGAAATGTTTAGAAGAAAATGGCAACCAATTTATATAATAAATTGTCTATGGAGTCTGACTTTGGGCACATCCTGTGTAGTTAAAGTAGAAATACTAAAGTGAGAAACATTGTTGATGCTTTGATGAATAGCATCATCCTAGAGGCCTGTCCTGTGTCTGCGATGGACCTGTTCGCTCTTGGCCCCTCACCTGCTGCTCTTTGGTGAACATTTGGAGGGTGTGTGATGTACAGCCCTGGATTTTGGGCCCAGTCTTGCCCTAGTTGTACCAAAAGAAGCTGTCAGTTAAATGGGGCATGCTTTCCCCCCTCAGTTCAGTCTTTACAGTTGCTTCTCGGATTATTATTTTTGTTTAATATCGAGGCTTTTCCATGTTGCGTGTCTGACATCATTGGCTGCCTTGAATTTTCTTATTTTAAACAACGTGCAGTTTTTAAAAAAGCAACCCTCATATCAGAAATGTCAATGTTCTTAGCTTCCTGTTTGTTAAACACCAAAACTGGAGCGGTGACAGTCGCGAGGGTTCTCCCACGAGGAAAGCCGCCCGTGCTCGTGCTCGTGCTCGGCTAGCTGCTGTTCCTCTGAAAGCGGTGAGAGCTTCTTCGTGCGTAGTTAGGAAAGCAGTTTAGAAGGCCAGGAGGGCACGGAATCCGCTCCGTACAAAAATCCACTGCGCGTTTTAGCCGCAGTCTCTGGAGTGGGTGGTTTCCGAGGCGCAGCGGCTCCCCGCCCTCCACTAAGCCTGGGACGCGGAGCGAGCGCCGGGTAGGAGAGCGAGGGCACTGTTGAGCCGAGTGGCCGGGCGGCGGGGATGGGCTCGCGCTAGCGACTTGCTCCAGGGCTGGTGTCCTCTCGCCATGTAGCGCAGGCTACGGGCGCTCTCCTCTTCTCTCCTCTGGTGGACCCGTTCTAGAGCAGCCCGGCGGGGAACATGCGGAGAGCCCCGGCGCCCGGGCTGCTGCTCCCGCCGCCGTCACCGCTGCTGCTGCTGCTGGGGTTTTTGGTACTGGACAGGGGCTGCACGGCGCAGTACTCGAGCGACTTGTGCACTTGGAGAGGAAGGTAAGAGCGCGCTGGGCAGGGGCTCCGCGGGGTTCGCGGATTCGCCGCCGCTGTAAGGTGTGTTTCCAAAGGTTGGGTCTTTGTCCGGGCATATCCCCGTGCCTGGGATCTGTTTCCCAAGGTGCGCTCCAGCGGAATCTAGGACACCCCTGCTCGACCCGATCTTCCTTTCTCTGGGGTGGCGCTGCTCAGTCAGAGGCGATCAACGCTGCCTTTAAAGAGGGCAAGGACTTTTTGGGGAGCTCTCCTTCCTCTTATTGGGGGGATGGGGGAAGCCGACTTTGTTCGCAGAGGATCGCTTCTCTTTTTTCCCCAAAAGCCTCTTTCTCCCTGTTGCGGTTGGAGCGCTTGAGTGGTGTTAATAGCGAAACGAATGCGAGGCTTGGAAATCTTGGATCCAGGAGAACTAGTACTCTTCCTCCCCACCCCCGCTCGCCCGCTTCATCCTAGAGCTGCCGGGTGTGCGTGTCTGCGGGGGTGGGGGGGGGGTCTTAGCTGTTCTCGAAACCGCTCTTCAGAGAAGTTTAGTTCGGGAAGGGCAGGGAAGGGGCGCATAATTCCGTGTCGGCTTGCCTAGCCCCAGAAGCTCCAGGACACATGGATTTGATCGTTGCAAAGGGATAAAAGAAATCCCTTCTTTTTTTCTCGGCTGTTTGCTCTGATTTATTGGAAGGAAGAAGGAGAGGGACAGTTTGATTAACATTCCAGGAGTGTTCAGGATGAGTATATTGCCAAAGCAACGAGCGAAGGAGGGGCGGGGGGAAAGACGGAGAGCGCTCAGCAGACAAAGGTAGAGTTTCTCTACTGACCACCGCAGCACCCTCCACATCTGTGCAATCCAACACCAGAACAACATACTTCAGGAACTCCTCGCTTGGTAGCCTCCTACCTTTTTGCACTAACTTGAGTGTAACTCGGTAGGCTTTTTCAGCCGCCCTTGAGGAGGAAAAATGGATAAGGGTTTATCAGTATGTTTGCGTATATGTGAAGATTGTTTCGCCCTTGTCAAAGTTGCGACTCTGGGCTTTTATTTTTGCAGCGTGTAGCTTTTATTTCAGTCACTCCAATAATCCTTCCTTCCTCCGCTTGTGACGTGTTTACTTTTTCTTTAACACCTGATGAGCGCGGGGCTCGTTTATTTCCTTAAAACGCCTTGGATTCCGGAGTTTTAGGGAGTTTTCTGTTTTTGAGTTTTCTGGGGGCTGGGGAGACTCATTAAGATTGGAGACCTGAGTATTTTGCTGTCTACGTTTGGAAGCTGTTCCCTGGAAACCGTAAAACTGGCGTCCGTGCGTGCGTGTGCGTGCAAGGAGGTCTCCAAAGGGGTGTTTAACGTTCTCCTGAGTTCACCTGCTATTGTACAACACCGATCTCAGAAGAAATGTTCTGAGCTGAGTCTGGTTTCTTACACCTGTGGCATAACGTCACTGTTGTTACTTTAAATTTAAATCAGGATTGCTAATGGCAAGTTCTCTGCGAGTAATTCCTTAGCTGCCACAGCTATGCTAATCGTCATGGTTGTGAAATCTTTAAAACTCCTTGGCTCCTAAGTTCTCCTCTTGCTGCTTCTGATTCCCTCCTCCCCCCTCTTGTGCTGTACAGTAATACTTTTAATGTGTCGCTATGGTTTTCAAAATCTTCTGTAGATCACAGCTTTTGAAAAGGCTTTCATTAAGTTATGAATCCCAAACTAAATGATGAGCATCTGCAATCTGTATTTGAAGTTTTCAAAGCATTTTATTTTTAAATAAATGGAAAGCAGTGAATTATTTCATTGAATTTATGCTTACTTCAAATTGGAAGGTTTAAATGAGTGGAAATAGGCAATGTTTGGGCAATAGCAGAAGTTTTAAATGATGGGGATCAGATTTTTCAGCTCTGTGTGTGTGTGTGTTTTGTTTTGTTTTCTGGGAGAGAGGATCCTTTTTTAGAAATTACTTTGGGGGAAGGGTGAACTCTAGTTATCACAGATTATCTCACATGTTAAGAATTGTCACATGCCCTGTAGCAAAATAGTTCCATTATCTAGAAAGATAAGTCACTGAAAATAGTGGCATGGAACACTTGTTGAATACCATCAGATAGTTTTATAAGACCTGTACCTAAAACAAAGTTCACCTGATACTGGGAACCATTTACAGTTTTGCTACCACATTCCTGATAGTGTGGTTTGCTGCAATTACTTTGTGTAACAAAGCAAACACTTCTTAGGCAGCAGTCTTGGAATCGACCTAGAACCAACTTCTCTTAACATCAGTATGGTTTACTGCTTGAAAATATTTGTGGGTTCCTACATAGAAATTGCTGTGGCCACTGAATCAAAAATCTATACTTCATATTACTCACAAATTCACATAAAGTTATTTTGTATATCTATAGTTATAAATGTCAAAAGTATATTACAGACATTACTGTATCTCAGTGTCCTTTTTAGACCGAAGGATATTCCAGACAGGAGATTCATTGGAACCATTTTCTGTTTGTCATGCATTAAATGTAGCCTCTTTCACATCTTTCATACCTGATTTACCTTTTCTTTTCTTTTTTTTTAGTAAAGTTCATAAATGTGCATGCATAGCTCTAATCATGTATGTGCACCATTTTTGAAAATGGGCATTGGGTTGTAGATGTCTCCCAAGATTTCTTTAAAAAGACCAAGCATTCCTGCAGTGCTGGCATCCTAACCTACTATACCATTTGATTTAGATGTGGAGAGGATTATTAAGGAGATTGTGTGGGGATAAGGCCATATCCATATCTCTCCCTAAAATTAGTGGCAACAATACCTCTGTAACATCAAATGGCAATGTTATTTGGGGGGGGGGCAGCCGAAAGTACATGACTTGCTAAGTCACTTCATAAAATACAGGACAGAGGCAGTATTCCTGATTTATATCTGTCTCTCAGCTGCAACACTAAACCATTAATATATTACTCTACTGATGAATGAAGTCTCTCTTCTGGGCTTGTCAGTGTCCTGAATGCCAGCCACAAGGGATGTGTGTGAGCAGCATGACTCACTTCCCTGTTGTGGGGCTTACCCAACTCTCTTCCCCCCCCCCAAATCTGTCATTAAATGTTTTAGTTTCGGGGAATGACACATGCTTGCTGACACTTGCAATTGCACAAGAAAACATCAGATGTCTGAAAAATAGATGGATCTGACCACCCAAACAGGTGGCTGTGGTTTAAGCTGGGCTGCTCTGGCCAGCAGAGTATTATGGGGTGGGCTGAAGCTTTGTGGTTTGAAGTCCCATCCCTGGCATCTCCATGTAGGATTGGGAAAATCCTGCCTGGAACCTTGGTAGAATTCCTGCCTGTCAATACAGTTGGATGCATGGAAGCTTTTCCTTACAGCTACCTGTATCTTTCTTAAATGCATTAATGACTGTGCATGATGTCCAGTAATAGGCATATGCCTCTGAGTACTGGTCAGTAGAGAGCAATAGTGGGACATGACTGTTGCCCTCATGTCTTACTCATGGGCTTTCAGTAAAATTTTTGTTGGCCACCATGGAAAGGAAGATGTTGGACTAAATAATAGTGCCTTGCAATACTTTAGAGTTGAAGGCCCAAAGGGGCTTCAGTGTTCATGGAGGGGCTCATCCCACCCCTATCAGCAGTTCCTTAAAGTAGCTGTGTTTCTCCTAATATCACACAGCTGCCTTCTATGATCCCGGGAAGAGACATGCTTGGTTGCAGGAGTTCTAGGCAAGTGCTGTGTGTGTGCTCTCCCCTGTTTCCAAAACTTTTTTTTTCCTTTGAAACACTGCACAGCCGTACTACTAAATCTTAATCTAATCCATCAGGCTGCTGCTACGAGTAAAAAAGAATGAACCCATGAGAGTGATGGGATATAGAGGTCACAGATTCAGCTTGGCCTTCTGGAAAGGCAAGTTCAGCATGGCCAGTGGTGAGAGAGACTCACAGTTTTAGTTCAGTAACATCAGGAGGAGCATAGGCTTCCGGTCTTGTTACTGATGCTGCAAAGTATCTTTCCTTTCCTCTTTCTAGCATGAATTGGTGATCTTGGCTTAGAATCTGTTGAGATTGGTGATGAATAAATACGCATTAATGCGTATGTGACAATTCTTAACAACTGGTAGCTTTCAAAATTAGGCTTTTCTGAAGCTTGGAGCAGTTGAACTTCGTATATCCTAGGACAGCTGTGTGCCCTGCAGATGTGTTGAACTACAACTCCCAGTACCCCCTGGCCAGCATAAACAAATGTGCTCTGAATTATGAAGTCTTTTTGCCCAGCCCTAATTGCCTGCCTTCAAAATTCTGGCTTTTTTTTTTTCCTAAAGATTTTTATACAGTCAGAAGTGATTATCCCATTGTTGTATGCAGGATTATAGCATATTCTTTCTGACAGTGTAACTTCAGAAGTTGTATTTGTTACTGTGGCAGCAGATGAGGTCTAAAGTACAAGCTGCCACTAATCTGTGGTATCCGGCTTTCAAAGTTAAAGATTTCAGTGATAACAGAGGTGTAAATGCCAGGCCTTCTACTTAAGTTCCTCTAAAGAAACTGGTTTTTTTCTAAGTTATCACACTGTCCCTACAGCAGGTTTGCCTTAGAAATGCTTGAAGTTCCCATTAGTAGTTATAAATAACATTGTTCTGAACAAAAAGGGGAACCACAGTTATATATTCATAAGTACTGTAGCTGTCAATACGTGTTTCACTTTATGAGAATGAATATTGTTGGCATATCTCAGTTTGGAAGTAAAGGATGCAACTTCTTGTCTGTGGGTGGGGCTAAGTCATTCTGAAGTTTTTCCGTTTAGGTTAACAGCCTTAAACTGTATTATATGGCCTTATATTCATGCATAGGTAAAACTAAATAAATACTCCATGGATATTCAGTAATAGTTTTCTATCAGCAACTGGGCTAAAATAAGCTATGACCCTTGGTCTTATCTATGTAAGAACTTTGGCCATTTATCCTTGGCTTGAAACCTAACTAACATCATTTTATATACATAAAACACAAGATAAGTGTCAATAGCCTCTTCCCACCCTGAATGTAGGTTTGCTTCAAAATATGGGGAGTTAACTTGCTTGGTATAATAAATTGAATAATCCTTTACATAAATAAGAGGAACAGCAGATGATTTGGCAGTTGGTCCTGGAACTGGCTATATGGATGTGGGATTAGAAAAGTGGCTTTGTTCTCAGTACAGGCATTTGATATCTCCATATTTGTCAGGAAAAGAAAGATTTGTTAGTCCATCAGACCTCTTAACACCTTTTGGTAATGAATCATCTCACCTCTCTCTATGCAGATGTTTTCTGTCTTCACCAAATCTTTCAAGCCATAGATAGCTCTCCATTTCCACCAATTCCAAAAGCTTTAACTAGGTCATGATCTTTTAGCCAAGTCGGCTCAAGTTGTTTTGAAGTGCATTCAGTGTTGTGAATCATCTATTCAGTAGGAACTTGGTGGATTTGTATCCTGACTTGCTTGTCTCCCTAATTCTCCTTTACTCCTCTATGGTTTCTTTGATATCATTAACTTCAATGAAAACAATGCTCCCTCTTTGCTTTTAGTCACAAGAAAAGCTTGCAGACCTGTGTTTGTGCGTAGTACCAGAGTCACTTATTGCTAAAACTTCAAAGCAATAATACTCCCTTGCTTTTCTTTCAAACTGAAAGGTCACATTTTGGTACTGGAGAAGTTTCAAATGATCCATGGTATTTTGAAGTGGGAACTTCTTCCACTCAGGAAATTACATTAAAGCCATTGATAAAGTATAGGTTATATGTGGGTTAATGAATTTCAGGGCTCAGTTTTTGGTGTTGGATTTTTTTTTTTTTGTATTTTGGAACAAACATAGTATGCCTCTGAGCCACTTGCACTGACTTTATTATGGAGAAATAGCAAATTCACACTTTCAAGTAGGACTTTCTATAAACACTGTAGTTCTCCTACCATGACCGTTATCCTGGCTGCATTCAGCCATGAAGCAGTCCTACAGGCTAGGCTGTAATTACAATTCTCGTTTGATAAATGTAGGTGATGAGGAACACAGAATTGGTAGGATCAGGCAGTTGGGGCCTTGAGAAGTGGTTTGGATTCAGCTCTGAGTTTAACTGGCTGCCACAACAATGCACTGATACTTTGAGAAGAATACTCTTGGAATCTGATACCATACACATCAGATCACCACTTAACACTAAAAACAAGCAATATTTCAAATGTCCCACTGAGAGTTGCATTTCTCAAATCTGTCAGAAGTTTCCCTATGCAAATGTATGAAGATCAAGAACTAGCCCCTTCTCCCACAAGCCTGTAAGCTCTTGCTATGGCTGCCAAGCTTACTTTGCAGCTGGTAAAGTGATGGTCCAATTATTCTAACAATTAAAAGTTAAGTTTCTCGGAGCTTCCTCATGAAACCTCTGAACAGTGTATTTTGCTGCATTCCAGTAATGTCAGGTACTTCACCTTAAATAAAAAAATGTATGTTGTCCTAGTGTCTCTCATTTTCTCCCCACCCTCCAAATCATATCTCCCACAGCTAATTTCTGCAGAAGACCTTTATATTTTATTAAATTTGTTTTGTTTACTTTTTAATAAAATCTACTGGAAATCTGATGTTGCAACATAAATGCATTCATCATTTTGGTTGGTATGATTGTCATATAGGGTTGGACTTGAGGCTGAGAGTTGTGTTGAATCCATTTTTCTCCTGAACAGCTTGGCCTTGTTGCTTAATTTGTTTTATGGAAGAACTTAATCTGAACTTCACTCCATGGGATTGGAGTGAACATGATGTTAGTAGACATGATTAATTTGACTATTTGATGGAATTGGAAACCTTTCTAAACTCTTAAAAGTTATTGCATTGCAGTTTTCTACAATCTTCTTTCAAGTTTTCACAATGGGTTTTATCTGAGTGCCTATAATATTCTGTAGAATAAATCCATCTTTCTTTTTTCCTAGTGGATTAACTCATGAGTCCCACAGAAAAGATGTTGAACAAGTCTACCTCCGTTGTTCTGAAGGAACCATAGAATGGATGTATCCCACCGGAGCACTGATAATCAACCTGCGACCCAATATTATATCCTCTTCCAAACATTGGACTGTTTGCATAAAACCTTTCAAGAACTCTGCAGGAGCAAATATTTATTTGGAAAAAACTGGAGAACTGAAACTACTGGTCCAAGATGGAGATCACAGGCCTACTAGAGTGCATTGCTTCAACTTTGACCAAGGTGGGCTTTTTGTCGAGGCTACCCCTCAGCAGGACATTAGTCGGAAGATTACAGGCTTCCAGTATGAACTGATAAGTAAGGGGATGGCATCTGATTTGCACATGATTTCTGGTGAGTTGTGATACATTATTTCTATATGGCCTTGTGTGCTTAATGCATAGAAATAACTCACTCTGATTTACAGTTTATTGATTTTTCTGTTTGTACTTGAGAGGTAGCAATGCTGTTCAGTCCCAAGGCTGTTCAGACACAGTCTTCAAAAGTAATTCTTTTTACAAAGAAAAAAGTTGAAAAATTTTAAACATAAACAACTTATATAAACAACTTATTAATGGCCCTCCTCCCAAGTCTATCTATGCAACTTTGCTTGTTCACCTCCAAATGTCTTGTTTACTTTGCACTTTTTAGCTTGAGATAGCAAGTCATATACCTGTCTATCCATGTTGTGGGGTTCCCTTTCTCCTCTTGTTATGAATACATTTAGATTGTGAGATAGGCTTCAGACCAGTTTAGTAACTTAAAAGAGAGGTACACCTATTTATAAACTTAATTTTTTTTCATATATGATTGGCTTTCTATATAGATCTTGCTTCCAAAAAAGAAGTTGCTGGTATCCAGATGTTAGAATCATGTACCCCTGTTATGTTCCATATATACTGCCCAGCAGTTCCAACAGGCTGTTGTTGCTAGTCCTTTTCCCTCTCCATTTGTTTGTTTTTGTTCTTGCACTGAACTCTTTACTCCTTGTTATGGAGGAGTGATGTTTCTTCTAGCTGTCTAATCACCTTGTGAGGGCCACGATACAGTGATATATAGTTAGTTGTGTTAGGATAGCATTTATATTAAGTTAGTTGTGTTTTTGCTGATTCAGCTCCTGTTTTTGTAGAGGGGCAAAACTGTTTCTTTAAACATGTTGTAACTGCCTTGCAGTTGAAAATCATTTTAAGTCATTCACAACAGTCCATCCACTGCTGATGTCTCTTAATGAAGGCTGGGAAAGTTAGGGCACTTGTAAGTGCTCCTTCCTTCCTAGAGACCAATCCCTGATTTGCAGACAGATGAGGGAACTGTTGACCTCAACAAACAGTCTTGCAGAGATAAAAATTGATCTCTTCAATTGTTACCTCTTGCTTCTGGTAGAATGTACTACAGATATTAATGATGATTGCAGCACTATTTTTAATTTTTTGGCATGCTTATCCTTGACTTTTAAACAGGCTCCATTTCAGCTGTTCAGCAAAAATGTTTTGTTCTGTATAGGTTTTTTTTCCTAGCTTTTTTTTTTTTACAAGTAAAGTTAACTTGGTTCAACTCAAACTATTAAAAATGTCTCTTTGTGTTGACCTTGATGTGTGGTGTCTTGACCTCTATGGTTACTACATAGCTGCAATGTCCCCTAGTAGCTGATAGGTGGCGCATTTGCCATTACAACTAAACTTAAGACATTTTGCTTTCAAAAACATTTGTAATTCATCAGCCTTGTCTATCATACTTTTAAAGTTGAATATTTTAAATATGTCTGTCACTGCAGTAAAATCCCTTACACTTCACAATTTTTAAATGTGTTCTCAGAATTTCTCCTAAAGATTTCTCTTTGTTTTGGAAATCATACCCCTTTTTTCATACTTCCCACATCACATAGGATATAAATACTGTCCCTAATATTATTTCTCATTGTCATTTGCCTCAGCTAGCTAAACTTCTCAGAACATGTTTTTATTTCTTTTCTTTAGCTGGCAATTATTCTGATAGTTGGATATTATTTGGGACATCTGAACCAAACATTAGTTCAGCAGATTATCTTATTATGAACATTGAAATGACAAAGTAATAGGAAATATTTTATCCCTTAGGATATTGCTCTTTGGACTTAAAGTTTTGTTTTTAGTCCAAACTGTAGCTTAGTTTTCCAGATTTGCATGCATTTCCTGGAATGCTTGTCTATAACTTTGGTAGGCATAGTATTTCCCCCTGTAGTCAATTCAGATTCTCTCTATATAGTGCAATCATATTAATATCCATTTAATGAGATTTTCTCTCCAGGTAAATGCAAATAGGATTGTGGCCTTATTCTGTTTTGCTGAAGAACTCAAAGTAGATTTGTTTCTTTGTCCAAGTAAGACTTGCATAGATCCTAGTTTGATATGAGAAAAATATTCACTTTGTCCCTTTTTATGGATATGCTGAAGTAGACCATGCTGTTTTTTTTTTATGATAGAAAGAAGCTGATTTTAAAGCCTTGAAAAGGTCTTAACAATGGTCAATCTACTCTTTTCCTGAAAGTTGTATTCTTACTTTAGTAGAATGACTTTTTCTTTTTTTTAAAAAAAAGAAAACTCTGGGATAATATTATTGGAATCTGCCTTTATTTTTGTTCTCCTCTTGTCCTAATCCAGCTGTGATCAAAGTTCATGTGTCATCCTACTTTAAGGGCCTGCTGTGTCCCTCGTCATGACACTGCTGTGAGCATCAACACATAAGCAAACGGTACTTGGTGGAGTATCAAGGTTTTAATTGATACATCCAGCATTTTATTACTTTACACACTCCTTTTGACTCAGTCTGAACTTTGCAAATAATGCTGTAAAAACCACTGCCCGTGCATTAGCAGCACATGAACATTGTGCTGTAAACGAATGTTTTAGCCACTTCTCTTAGATCATGAGGTGCTAGTGCTATAGCATTATTTATTCAAATTGTCTGGTTTTTGGTAAGCCCTAGGAACAGAACTGGAGCAAGAGGCATTACTCTGAATAAAGAAGTCATGGTGGATTAACTCTTAAACTTGTTGTAGGCTGGATTTGTTGTCATGGGAATGCCTGATGACAAATCCTTGTGCATATGATTGACAGAAGCAAATGCACCTTTCTTTGATTCATCACACTATATCCCAGAAATGAGTTTAAGGCAATATTGTTGTGGCCATGTCTTGAGTTCCTGTGTTGTAGATATCAACATCTTCTTGTCAGTTCAAGGGCTAGGAAATGAACTGCTAGTTCGCTGAAGTTTGCTATCTTATGGTTAGAATTACATCATTAGGGAGAACTAATGCAAGAGTTGCCGAGAAATTCTGCAAGCAAGAAGAGCATGTCATCTTTTGCTACTTCTGTCACTCTTTTCTATGAGCATGACATTATGAAAAAATGTGCTTTTCTGCATTTTCATCAATAGCTTATTATTATTATTACTGTTATGGTCCTGTAAGCAGTTGATGTGGAAAAGCAGGTGATCAGGACTCAAAATGCCCTCTAAATTGCACCAAGATATTATACAGTAGGGAAGGGAGGTTTACATCTGGAAGCTGAGCACATGAAATACAAAAGTTGCTCCTCCTAATACAGCCTGTCTTAGTCTAATTCAATGTGGACAGATTGTATTTCCAATTTCCTTAATTCCAATCAAACAGAGAAGATTACTTTATTAGTGGCATTCCTGCCAGCTGTGAAGAAAACTAGGAAAATTTAAAATGCCCCTCTGCCCCCCAATCCCACTGTGCAGTTTCATCAATCACTTTAGAATTAACAAATAAAGAGGGCTTTTGGTAAAGAATTCATCAACTGTGTACATACACACTCTAAGAGTGTTCTTCCTGAGTTTTTTTTTTAATGAAAGGAAGAAAAGTTGGGGTCCCTCACTGAGTTTGAATAATCTTCCTTTGCAGCTGTTCAGCAAGGATTCCAATCCTTTTATTCATTTAAAAAAGCACTTTACTTTGCGAGAGTTTTTTTCCATGTATTTTAAGTGCTTAAAAACTTCCATGCACTTGGTTTTCCCTGAAAACTCCTTCCTGTTCCAGAGCCAAGGTTTGCAAACTTAATTTACTGGAATTCAGAAATATAAAGTCCTGTTACCTTCAGGGTTTTTAAACTTATTTTTTACATAGGCAAGTTAAACTTTAACAAACATTTCTTCTATCTTGATGGGATCTGTTTCTTATAAGGCAGGCTCTGCTGGTTAATGGGCTTCCTATATAATGTCCAGTATGTAGTTGTAGGAATTTATAAATGCCAACATTCGACCATAATCAAGTTAAGGGATAATAACCAAGTATTTCCCATTAGAGTTTTGCTGAAGTTGAAGGAATATGCCCCTTGGGTATAGTACTTCTCAGGTGTACTGTATGGATTTATGGGAGTGGTGATGAGATGGTCTGTCTCCAAACATCTGCATGAGATAAATTAGACAGGTTCTGAGTAACAGCATTCCCGCACCAGCTGTATAGGATCTCTTTTGATCCTGTGATTCAGTTCTACTTCCTAACACAAAAGTATGACTATTTTCTCCAGCTGTATACTTGTTGAAAAAACAGTTGTATAACCATAAATGTCATACCATCATTCTCTTAAGATATGCTGAAAGGGTAATCATAAGTAGTCAATTTATCAGCTACTAAATCTGGGGATATTTAGGTTTAGTGTACCCTGCTATGTAAATAAGCTAGTTCAAACAGGGATACAAATATCATTATGAAGTTTAACCAGAATGGCTTATCTTCCTTATTTAGGAAAGAATGTATTCTGTAAGAGGCTACCTGATAGTTTTATTAGTCAATAATTTTGACTACAGGTGGCCACGTTTTATAGTTGGCATGGCATATTCAATCTTTACATGGAAGAGTTTATAGGAGAGAAAAATTTTGCCTGACTCATTGTTTTTCCATGTGCTTGCATTGTCCTTTCAAATTCCTCTGAAGTGCTGATCTTTGGATATGCTTTGCTTCCATTTTTTTTAAGTTAAGACCGTCTGTACATTTTCTTATCAGTTGGATGGCAACACCATACCTCACCAAATTTGCATCAAATTAATAGCATTGTTATGGGATCTCCAGCTAAGATATTTTCAAGTGGACTCTTTAATTCAAGTTACCAGTCAAGGTGTCATCCACTGAGCTACAAAGCAAGATCATTTTTCCAATCTGTGTCCAGCTTCTTGGATTGATTCCCTGTCAACAGATAGTCTTTGAAAACCCTGATGTAGCTGGGTTTTCACTGTAGCTTTTTAGCAAGCAAGTCAAGGTGTCTCTGATTACATGCTAAAAATAATCAAATTCGTTTTAGCTTTTCACAGGGCTCATTTTAATAATATCTTGGGCTCAGGCACACAGCAAAAAG